TGGGAGGGACTGGGCTGCACCCAGTGCAGTCCTGACGTGGGACACCCGCTCATTTGTGGGAGCTGACTGCCAGACTGGCTCCATCCTTACTTACTCCTTCATCCACAGACACCAAACCTTGTTCTTCTCCAGAGGTTGCTGTCCTGCAGGTACCACAGTAGGACCCTAAAGGGAAATGGGGCTGATAGTGCTGACTAATCATGCCTCATGTATGGCGAGGACTCAACTTTATCCAAAATCATCCTGGAGGGGCAGCAAATCTGCTGCTGAGGCCCCTGGGTTGTGTTCCCTGCTCCAGCCCTCTCTCCTTCCCTCCACTGCAAGGAGAAGCTGCTCTTCAATGTATCTAAGTATTGTATTGCTAAACAGCAGAAAGGGGCTCTCTCTCACAACATCCCGGGGTCCAGCTCCCTTTGGGGAACCCCTCATCAGTTTTCCTGACCCAAGGGAGGGAGGAGGGCAGTCATCCTGCCAGTGGAACAATACAGGGAAGTCCCATTCAACTGAGCTTTGGCCAAGGAGCAGATTGTTGGTCTGGCTGTTAAACTAGAAGCCTCAAGTTTAGCTCCTACCCTGGGGGACCCAGGGAATGGCCACTGCAAGGCAATTCAGCAAATGTGCCTTGAGGTGAGTGCAGAGCCCCCCATCTGTGCACAGTTTCACCCTTGGCCAGTGCAGAACCTGTTTTGTTGCAAATCTGGTGCGTGAGCTACTGACACACCCTGCCGGGTGAGAGCTGTGTGCCAGCAGGTACTTGCTGGATAAGGATGCTCCAAACGGAGTCTCCTCGTTGCGTGGCTTACAAGGAACTTTCCAAGTCTGTAAGTTATCAAATGCTGCTTTGAAGTCTTCTGCCCATTCCATCCTCAACATGATGGACGAAGCAAAGGCTTTCATCTCTGCCTGGTGAGCCAGACCCCTCCATGGTGGAAATCAGCAGCGTCAGGAGAATGTAGCTATAAAATAATTTTCCCGTGAAGATCTGACCTCCCACCTTTTCAGGACTACAGTGATTTTTTTCATGCCTACACTATGAACAGTCAAGACTAGACACCATTTCCCCTTGGTCTGCATCCTGTTTTTGAGAACAATAGCTGCATTTTTGACAGAGTGCCAGCCCATAATTCATGCTTGCCTGCACCCTTTGGAGCACAGAGTTGGCTGATATTATAATAATTTAGTGCATTGAAATGACTGTTACAATTAGAGCAGGTTTGTTTTTTTTCTCCTAGTCAATAATATTATTTCTAAAAAATTAAATATTTTAGAAATAATAAACAAGGAAGAGAGGCCTCATCTCTTGATGAAATATGGGTGCATAAATTCCCTTGACTTAATCTCCCATCCACTCAGATATGATACAGTTCAAAAGTTCAGCTTGAGATCAAACTTTGCTGAGTTTATGTCCTGTGTAGGACAAACAGCTTGAAACAGAGAGAGGACTCCAGTGTAAAACAGAGGAAGAGAAAGGCTGTGGTCAACATAGAACAAACAAAACAGTTGGGGGGAAAATGTATTAAATAATGACATTTTACATAAAGCCTCACTTTTCATGGTCACCAGCTTTCACCCAGATTGTCCTCTGAGCACAGTCCCAAAAAGTTGCTGGATGCCCTGAACCTGCTGAGCACCCCCTATTGTCATCACCAGTCCCGAATATGTTGTTGGCACCCTTTGTAGAGGAAAATGTGAGCACCACCCATAGCAGTGCCTTCACAGATGGGACACAAACTATCCCACCAAAAGGCTGCTCCCAAGCAGGAACCTGGATATATGTATGCTGGTTAAACTGTTCTGGGACAGTTTTCATTCCTTCATGGAACAAGAAGGACTCAGGCACCGCTGGATGGCTGGAGACACACCCCGTGCCTCACGCCACTGCCCGGAACACCATCCTGGGCCTTGAAAAGCAAGTCCTGTGGCAACACGGCACCCCAGAGAGAACTGAGTCTGACAGTGGGACCTATTTCAGGAACGGCCTCATAGACACCTGGGCCAGAGAGCACGGCATTGAGTGTGTGTATCATATCCCCTACCATGCACCAGCTGCTGGGAAAGTTGAGTGGTGCAATGGACTCCCCAAAACCACCTTGAAGGCACTGGGTGGGGGGAGTTTCAAACACTGGGAGCTGCATTTAGCAAAGGCCACCTGGTTGGTCAACACCCAAGGCTCCATCAGTCGAGCTGGCCCTGCCCAGTCAGAACCCTTGCATGCTGTAGATGGAGATAAAGTCCCCGTGGTGCATATGAGAGGTATGCTAGGGAAGACTGTTGGGATTAGTCCCAGCTCAAGCAAAGGCAAACCCATCCAAGGGGTTGTTTTGGCTCAAGGACCTGGTTTCACTTGGTAGGTAATGCAAAAAGATGGGGAAACACGTTGTGTACCCCAAGGGGACCTAGTTTTGGGTGAGAATGGTCTGTAATGTTTCATTGTAAATATATATATATATAGTTTTAAAGGGTGGTAATTTGGGCATGACATAGATGGTACAGAATAAGGGGTGGATAATGTCCTAGTTAGAGCAGCTGGGACCAGTTCATCATTGTTGTGGGTGTAACCCAAACTGTGTATTCTACACCCTCTATGCCATTTCCCAGAAACTGTTGACAACAGACCATTTGCAGCAGCTGCCCAGAGCACACCTGACCCCTCAGGCTGTGAGCTGGGTGTTAAGAGATAGGAGGATGTTCCTGTCCTCACACCCACAACTCACCATCAGCCACTGTGGAACTGCCCGCCCTGGAGGAGGTGCTGGGCATTCCTGCCTGAACCCGAGTGTGGGTAACCTTGGGGTCTTGGGACTTCTGCTACCACTCGTGGGATCCAGAGGAGGACCAGACCCTCGACCAGACTGCAACCACCACTCGCACCAAGAGGTTCTTCCTCTCCTTTTATTTCTGAACTCAGAGGGCCCATGTGGGGCTCAGCACGGGGGGCCAATGAACGCCGTTCTGTTCGTGCCCCGGGGTGCCGGGTTATACATCTGGGGTTTTTTTGTGGGTTAAAACCAATTGTTTATCTGTATAATTGTATTTATTGTATTATTGTTATTACATTGTAATTCTGACTTATAATCTCTTTTGAGTTGGGTTCAATTTCTCCTGCCGGTTTGCCTTTAAACCAGCACAACATCCCTTTGTGTTTATATGCTCCCATTCTCCCCCTTCTACTGTGAACCAATTCTCACAACCTTTCTGCCAAGGTCCCGTTTTTCACATCTTTCCCAGTTGCTGCTGCACCCCCTCTGAACTCTCTCACAGAGTCTGGGTGGGAAACTTGGCCAGGTTTTGTAAACCTCATTCTTGAGACCAGGGGTGTTGAGGAGCACACCTGCGAGCTCTGCAAAGCAAGACAGCAGAAGGCAGACAGGGGCAGCTGCCACAGGGTCGTGTCTCATGACCTAAAAAATGATCCCTTGTCAGTATGTAAATACTGCTGGATGTTGTCTCAGCCTGTCCCTTTTGCCAAGGAAAACATGGAGATGACTTAAACTGCTTCACAGAGATGTAGAGAGTTGTGAGGGCTTGGCTGGTGAATAGGTTGGAAATTGACCTCATCCATTTACAGCTGAGACATCTTCAAAAACTGCACTGGTTTGACCAGAAAAAAAAGTGCCATTCCTTCCCAGTGTGCACAGCAGGTTGTGTCTTTCTTTCAAATTTGTGGGATATCTGAAATAGTGCAGTGGAAAAGCAAGGGAGTTTTGAATGTCTGTATGGAAAATTTAGACATGTCTTTTAGGCTTTTATTATCTGAATAAAGGGGTTTTTATTGTTATTGGAGGAGGGGAGTTAGGGAGATCTGCTCATTTTATTTCATCAAAATAGAGCAAGATCTTTCTCTGAGATAAGACTTTATTCCCATAACAACTCTTGCACAAGAGCCAGACCCCAGCGAGCAAGTTGTGAAATAAGAAGTGGTAAGAAAAAGCAGGGTTTGGGTGCTGAGAGGCTGAAAGTATCACTGCCCAGCCCACAGCGAGTGACCTGCTCAGCCGGGCGTCACTTGGCTACTCTGCTGGGAGACACCTGGGGGTGCTGCTGTGGGTGAACCCCGAGGTCTACTGAAGAGCAGGAGGAAGTGGGTGATGCAAAGCAAATGCAGTGACACATTCTGCAGTGCACAAACAGGTACTAACCACTGCACTGCCACTGCATCTCCTCGTGAGCAGCCCGAGGGAGCAGGAGGCTGGAAAAGCAGTTCCACTGCGGGAGAAGAAGAAGTGACATGGAGTGTGGACAGGCAGAGAGTTCTGCAAAACCTTCCTCCCTGAAAGCTGGTCTTCATGTTTTGTTTTGATTACTGTTTTTGAGAAGGTAAACTGGCACTAGACTGCAGAGATCAGATCTAACACATCGACCAGTTAAAGCAAAGCACTTAGAACATTGTTCCATAGACCAAACCAGCTGTCTGTGCTTAGACAACTGATTCAGGTCTTCAGCTCTGGGGTAAGACTAAGCTCTGGCTTGTCCCAGAAATAGTGTGGCAGCAGAACCAAGGCAGTGACCATCCCCCTGTGCAGGGCACTGCTGAGGCCACACCTCAAATCCTCACTCCAAGAAGGACACTGAGGGGCTAGAGGGTGTCCATGGAAGGGAATGGAGCTGGGGAAGGGTCTGGAGCACCATAATTTTATTTGATGTTCTTCCTGTGCCCCAGCGCTAATTGATGTGTTAAAACATGAGGAGATTTATATCGTTTCAACAGCCTAATACGTTATGTCCGTATTACTTTGGTTTATTTTGCTTTGTTTTATTTTAGTGATGACTGGGAGGGATGTTATGTAGCATTAACTGATTGAAACATTTCCTTCTCTAGAACAGAGACAGTAAAAGCAAACTAAATGTTTATTTCATTTTATGAGAATGTGCTTTCTGCTGTAGGAATATCTGAATTTAAACTGAAGCTCTGGCCTTACAAAGGAAGCACTTCCCAACTTCATATTTATCAGAATTTTCATGGAAAATTTTGAAAATATTAACTTTAATTTTGAGCTATAAATTGGAGGAGAGGGGAAAAAGAAGGAGGAAAAAATAAAGGAGGGAGAAAAAAGCACAAAAAAACTACACACAAAAAAAAGAAGGAAAAAAAAAAAAGAAAAAGGAAAGATTGTGTGAACTCAGACTTCCATGAGCTGACTAGCTCTGCCCACATCTGACATCATCAGCCACTTTTGCCATCTCTCTCTGGACGCTTCTGCTGCCAAATCCCTTGCACAGCTTCAGTGCAGGGAGCAGGTTACAGCCAGCCTCTGTTGCTCAGAAGTTTCTCTGCTGCTCTATCCCTCACCTAAGTGCATGACCCATTCTTGTTTTGCAAAGACTTGGAGAATAATTCAGATTGGAAGGAGCCTCTGGAGAACTCCAGTCCAGCTCCCTGATCAAAGCAGGGCCAACTCCAGTGTCAGAAGTGGCTGCTCAGGGTCTTGCCCTGATGAGTTTTGAAAGACTCCAAGGACTTTCCAGAGTTCAACTTCTCTCACTGTGAGAATTTTCCCCTTTTGTTTAATGGGAACTTTCCCAGTTGGAACTCTCAGCAGTTCCCTTAAGTGAGTGCTCCTGGGAGGACCCTGTAGCTTCCATCCAGCCATGAGAGGAGATTTCCCCCCAGGACTTTCTCTTCTCCAGGCTGACCAAGCCTAGTACCTGATTCTGGTTCTAATTTCATCCTGACCATTTCTTCCCCACTCTCCCCTGTGAGGGTGACAGAGCACCAGGTGAGGCTGCCCAGAGAGGTTGTGGAATCTCCTCCTCTGGGAAGATTTAAAACCCACGAAACCACGGTGCTGTGCAGCATGCCCTGAGTGAACCTGCTCTAGCTGGGGGCTGGACTAGAGATCATCTCCAGAGGGACATTCCAACCCCAGCCATTCTGTGATTCTCTCATTTGTATTCCAAATTCCTGGTTTCGATGTTCTCATTCCCCTTCTGTTCCCCTTGGGCCGTATCTCCAGCACAGCTGCCTGTCCCAAACCTTCTTCTCTTTGGTGAAAATGGAGTTCTCTCCTTCTCTGGTCTTCAGGACCCAGGACTCCCTTCTCCAGTCCATTTTCTGGGGAAGTCAGGAACAGCAGAGAGGAGTCTCTCCTTTAGTTGCCTTCCAGAATGTTTCTTCACAGAGTATACTGCTTAGGAACTGGAAAATCATAGAATCCGAAAGGTTTGGGTTGGAAGGGACGTTAAAGATCACCTAGTTTCAGTCCCCTGCCATGGGCAGGGACACCTTCTACTAATCCAGGCTGTTCCAAGCCCCATCCAACCTGGCCTGGGACACTTCCAGGGATGGGGCAGCCACAGCTTCTCTGGGCAACCTGTGCCAGGGCCTGCCCATCCTCACAGGGAAGAGTTTCTTCCTCACAACTAATCTAAACCTCCCCTCTTTAAAATCATTCCCCCTTTCCCTGTCTCTATCCCCCTGTGCAAAAAGCCACTCTTTCTCTCTTTTACAAGCCCCCATTCAGTACAGAAAAGCTGCAGTCATGTCTCCCATATGTGTGTCTTTGATGCCTCAGCTGCTAGGATGGACAGGAGGAGGAAATCTGTGGAACTGTCTTGGCTCTGCAGCACAGCAGAGCAGCCACAATCAACAGCCTGGGAGAAAAGTGGCTCTCACAGTGTTGCAGGACTGTTCCCTTGTAGTTGCCAAAATTTTGCTTAATATCATGTTGCATCAGCCTCCAGATATCTTCGCTTGTCAGAGAATGTTGCACGGCTCTCCTCAGGAAGTTCTTCCATGCTTTTCCAGTCTCTTTTTCCTCCAGTTGCAGTTGCACTCCATTTCCCTGGTTACTTGGTACTTCTGTTTGTCACCCCTCATGAGCTGAGGTCCTCCTCTGTTTACATTCATCACATACTATTTTGAATAGTAGAATGTAGAGCTCCCATTTCTCCTGTTTTCCCTCTCTTTCTGAATTTATTCATATTTTCTTTCTCCCAACCTGCTTATCCCATCCATAATACCAGGACTGGCCAGAGCAGGCTCATATCACTTCTTGGTTGCTTGTGCTGCTGACAGAGAAATCCAAATGAGCCATGCTGCACTTTACTCCTGAGACTTATCCCTCAGGAAAGCTGTTTCTGCTCCCAGGGAAGTCCATGGAAGTCTAATTAGTCCCAGATGTTTAGTAATAACAAGCACTTCCTTTTGGTCGAGCCAAACAAAAGCAGTGTTAAAAACGTTAATTAAGTGGCTCTTGGCTCTGTCATCAGGTTATTAACTAACTCCAGTCATGGCAGCCAAGCTAATCCTGGCTCTCAGGAGGGGACAGAGCCTTGCCATGCTCCTCACAAAAGCCTCGACCTCAGTGTGTGGCACATCGGCTCTCAGCTGGGCACAGCTCAGGGGCTGTCACACTGAGGGAAAAGCTCACCAACTTCAGCACTGGGCTTCCAGCTGAGCCGTGGGATTGCTGCTGGGGCAAACCTTCCATGAGATGAATGGCTTCAGCCAGTGGGTAGCCCTGGCTTCTGCTCTGTGGGATCAGGCCCTGTTGCTGCTGATGGTTTGTGCCAATTCACAGAAGCACAGAAATCATAGAATGGTTTGGGTTGGAAGGGACCTTAAAGCTCATCCCATTCCAAGCCCCCTGCCATGGGCAGGGCCCCCTTCCACTGGACCAAGTTGCTCCAAATCCATCCAGCCTGGCCTTGGAAACTTCCAGGGATGGGGCAGCCACAACTTCTTTGGGCAACCCGTGCCAAATTCTTGCCCACACCTCCAGTAGATCTCCTTGTTCTCCATGGGTTGTACTCTAAGACATGGAGCAGCTGTCCCTGCTTCAGGACCAGGAGGTAAAGGGCTAAGGTGGACTCTGAACATCATGGAAAAATAGGAAGACATTTCTTTTCATCTGTGGAGCTTTCCAAGCTGGTGCTTTAATATATCCACAGCCTTGCACTTTTTGCAAAATTCAAAGGTGTTTTTATTGTACAAAATTCCACAATGAAAATCACCAGCCAGTTTCTTACATAACTGCTTAAAACCTAAAATTTTACACCTTTTTGTAGTGTGTTAATTTTGACATTCACTAGCTGGAAGAAACAGAAATGGAGCAGCAATTTGACTCTGAGTTATTTACCTGGGCAGGTTTCAGTGTGATCTCTGTTTCTCTTCTGTGCCTGAATGCACAGTTCCTGGCATTAACAGGAAACCTGATTTGGCTCCTTTTCAAAGCCATTGAAGCCTGTTGGCAGGTCAGTCTCCCTGCTCACTGTCGTGTTCCCTTCAAAAGGGTGAATTTTCTGTCAGTGCAGGGCATAACATTTGTCAGTGTCAGCAATGCAACAGCTCAGCTGTGTTAAACCCATCCCAGAATGAGGATCTGCATAACATTTCTTGCAGCCCATCCTCTAGACAACAATACATTTTCATGGAAAGACAGTGGACATCTGGTCTGAATAATGGCCCAGGACTATGTTCCCTATGCATTATTTCACACTGGCATCTTCAAAACACCTTTTTGCAGTCTAACCTCCTGTGACCTTTAAAAATAGATATATTATTCTTCTGCACTGAAATGCAACTGCATGCAGTGAGTTCCCAGCAGTTTTCCTTAGAAATACAAACATTTCGGTCCAATGTTAGCTGGTTGAAATTCATTCTCCAGGGTTTTTCTATTTAAATGTGTTCACCCCAGAGATGAATTTCTTCACATTAAACCCAGTTCAATATGTATTGCAGGCGAGGGCCAAATTTCTCCTCTTTGAGTTGAACTGTGGACCTGCAAGACATGGCAAAGTCTCCTTCCAGTCCCTGCAACCCAGATCACCATGGTGGTGCAATTGAGGGGCACTTCAAAAGCATCTTAAAATCCACAGTTGAAAATCAAAGGTGAGAATTTTACCCTTCATTTCTACACACTGTCGGTGTAGCACCTGATCTTTTCAGTTTTCAAGGCATTTTGTGTTCCCTTTGCTTTAAACTGAGGGCTGAAGTTCTGCCTGCGGAAGCAGAAGAATGAACCCACGCCGATGATGATCACAGATAAAACCAACACAAATGTTAATATAATAAGGAAGTTGATCTTCTTCAGATCCTCTTTTTCACAGTCTTCTGGTCTGATGTTCCTGATGTGCATTTCTTCCTGGTACCCGAAGTTCTGGGTGTACTGGCACGTTAAGTGCTCCACGTTGGGGATCTGGACATTTTTGTTCTGGATCATTGATGAAAGCCAGATGTTTCCGCAGCAGTTGAGTGGGTTCCCAGTGAGATACAAGTTTTTAAGTGAATTTTCTAATGCTAAAATATTGCTGTTCTGCAATGTACTAAACCTGTTGTTCCGTAGGTCCAGAACTTCCAGTGGAGAGTCACTCCCCCACTTCGGCAGCCAATTCAGCTGATTTTCAGAGAGGTTCAAATGTTTAAGGTGACTAAAACAAGGCAAGTCAATGTTTAAATCTATCAGCCTATTACCATGTAAATACAAATATTCCAGAGACTTTTCCAGACCTGATAGTGCTTTAAGTTCTATTTTCAGTCCAGGGTTCAGGGAGAGGTCCAAGACAACCAGAGGAGTCTTGTACAAGGTGTATGCTGGGACGATGTTCAGCATGTTGTCAGCCAGGTACAGGCACTGAAGAGCAGGAGAGTCCACAAATGATACACAGCCGCTTTCCTCCCCAGCAAGTCTTTGCTTAGCTAATCCTGAGTACATGCTGCAAAGGCTGATATTGTTGCTCTGCAGGTTAAGCAGCCTGAGGCTGGGAAGACTTGAGAAGATGTCAAACTGCAGGGTTTGAAGATGGTTGTTTTGAATGTAGAGCTCCGTCAAATTCGACAGCACACCAGCATCGAGGAGGAGGTTCTGCAGGACATTGTAGCTCAAGTCCAGGACAGTGAGGGAGGTCAATGCACTGTCATAACTCACTGCAAATGCCTGAAGACAGTTTTTACTGAGATTAAGGGTGTGAAGGGACAACATGGATTCAAAGAACTCATCCGGAATGGATTGGATTTCATTATAACTTAAGTCTAAATATACAAGGTGGGATAAATAAAGAGAACTTTTGTTTCTATTTTGCTTCTGATCAAGAAGATGGAAAGAAGCATTCAGCCATTCATTTTCCATGTAGTCCATTTTATTAGGAGGGGATTCAGCAGTGAGCTGGATTAAATTCTTTGATAAATTCAGAGTTACCAGCTTATTTACCTGAGGGAACACTGGGAAGTGAAGCAGTTTGTTTTCACTCAGATCCAAATACCTTAAGCTATATTCATCATCTGATTTTGTGGTTTGGAAGGTCTCAATGCTGTTCCTGCTAAGGTCAAGTATCTCCAGCTGCCTGAGGTTGAAATCAGAGATGCAAGTAATTGAATTCATTGAGAGATTGAGTCTGGAAAGGTTCACTAGAGTCTCAAAAGCACCTTCTTGTATTTCCATGATGATATTACTCTGAAGATCTATCTCCACAAGACTGGGAGATCCCTGAAACATCCTGTGTGATATCACTATAATACTGTTGTCTGCCAGGGAAAGATAGCGCAGTGCTGGAGCCTGCTTGATGAAATACTCAGCCATCCCATTGTACAGGCTGTTGTGGGACAAGTCCAGCACTTCCACCCTGGGTAAGAGTCCAATCCCCTCTGTGCCATTTTGAGCAAGTTCATATAAGTGATTGTGGGCTAAATTTATTTCCAGCAAGCTCTTCATGTGGGCAAAGGCTCCAGGTGTGATGAAGCTTATCTGGTTCGAGCTCAAATCCAGGCACTGTAGGGAAGTGTAAAGTGACAATGCCCTTTCAGGGATGCTTTGAATCAGATTTCCAGACAGATCTATTTTGTTTACATTCAGATGGAGCTCGTGAGGGATCTGGTGGAGGTCTTTGTTGTGGCAAAATGCCTGAGAGTTTGCCTGCCAGAAAAAGAGAGAGAAGGGGTTGACCAATGAAAAATGTCTCTGCATTAAATGTAAGAAAAATAACACTCAGCATCCACGCAGATTCTTCACCTGAAACACTGTTAACATCACTTTTTCTGAGTGTTCAGACAGCAAGAGCAACAATCCTAATTGCTAATCCTGATTAGCTGCTCTGCAGCTAAGGGCACTCATTTCATTTTAAAGGCACTTCTGACTTAGACCTGGCAAGTTTTATCTGCATGTGACACCTACTAAATGCTCTCTTCTTTGTGCCTTTCTCCTGGACTCCTCTTAATAGTTCCAAAGGAAGGAGTTTTGCTCTGTTCTCTCTGCAATCAAGCACCATTTCCTCACTTTTGTGCTGATGTTGCATTTTCTCACTTTTGTCACTGTATTAGAGTTTACAAACTCTACCTGCAATAGCAGTCAACAGCTTCTCTGTTGGCAGCTCGGGTCCCAAAGCAAGGAGGTGTAAAAACATAAAAGGATCCTAGAGCACAAAACCTGTCTCTCCTTCATAGTCACATCCCCCAACATTTGATGCCTTTCTTTAGCCAGGGCTTAAGTTCAGCAAGGCATCTTTAACCAAATAAGGTCCTTCAATACCTGAAACATTAATTGTAGCTACGACTGAGTCTGTGTCCAGAGCAAAATCTGGAGTGTGTGTTCATAAGGAATATTGGAAACATGAATATGACCATCTTTGCATAAATGTCAAGCTCTATTTTGTTATTAAGGAGAACATACAGCAGCAGGAGGAAGTGGAATGTGAAAGGCTTAGGGAGCATTTAATTTACTGGAGGAAAACTCTTGTTATTAATGTATTTGGGTGTCTGGGTCATGTACTGTTTGTAGAAAGATCAGGAAAGAAAAAGAAAGAAAGAAAGAAAGAAAGAGGAAAAGGAAGAAAGTAAAAAAGAAAGAGATCTGTTGAACCTTAACTTCTGTGGAGAAGCAGAATCCAAATTCCATGACGCAAAGCTTTTCAGACATTAAACAAACATTAAAACTCAAAAATATTAAATCCCATCTGTTTCATATGAACTTTGAGGAGAATGGAGTGGCAGATCTGTTTAGGAGAAGTGGGACACTAGTCAGCATTTTGTGAATCTCTTTTGCATCATCTGAGTTTTGGAGACCACACAAAAATGTGCCAGAGAAGCACAAGTCCTCATCCAAACTCTAGATGTACACTAGCTGCTCCACAGTCCTTCCCATGGATCCACAGTCTTTCCCAAAGATCCCAAGGAAACCGACGATCAAAACCAGAACCCCTTCCTGTTTTCCCTCTGATTCACTCAAATCTTCTCCATCTAAAAAAAAATTTAAAAAAAAAAAAAAAGGAAATTTTCTGGCTTCTCCCTGACACTATTTCTTTCCTGCAAAGTCACCACAGACTTGCTCATTTTGACTTCAGATATTCCCATAGGCCAAATAAGAGAACAGGAAGGCTCTTCTTATTCATTTGTGGAAGAGGAAGAAGCCAGGAGAATACAAAAATCCAGAGTGAAAAAGCAGAAACTGCTCTGCAGCCTGAGGCAGATGCCAGGTTTCTTGTTACACTTTGAGCCAGATCTCAGCAAGTGTTGGGGCACCCCCCACTCCCCCTGGGCACCCAGATCTTAGCAAAGCCCTGACGTAGCTCCTGTCGATGGCACCAGGCTGGTCTTCCCTGGAGTCCATGGGGGAGAGGTCAGTCCCAGCTCACCAGGTACCTTGTAGGGTTTGGCCTTTAATCTGCATCCAGGGAACCCCTCCCAGTGGTAACAGGGACTGTTAAAATCTATACCTCCCACCGTCTGCCATTTGTTCCTGGAACATTTCACCTCCCACTTTTCTTTTTAAACTTTCGTTTCTTTTCAATGACTGTTTTGATCCTCGATAAATTTCTTATCTTGTCTCTTCTGCACCATCTTTGGTGCAAACTGCATGGATTTCGATCTCGTCAGCAGCAGGAAGAAAAGAGGAAGGACATCTCAGTGGGATGGAGCTAACACTATCTGTTTGGTGTATCTCCCCACCTCTCCTCCCTGAGCCCAATGGGTTGGGAGCCTGAGACTGGAAAAGAGCTTTTTGTCAGTCTCATGTTCTGACTTCACAAACTGCTCAGCAGTTTGCCCAGGTGCCACACAGCAGCTGGCCTGTGATAACTGGTTGTGCACTACGTCCCCCCATCACCTCCAGGCAAGGTAAGATATAATTTCCTTAAATCCCCTCCCTTCTACGAATTGTTTGAAAGCTCCTCTTTTGCCAATTAACAGGCATTAGTAGAATCATCTTTCTTTGGGAGGTAAAACATGATGTAGTTGAAGCCTTGCCTATCCTTGGAAAGCAGTGTGAGTCAGGAAGAACCTGACATTTAAGCTGTGCCTTGCTGTCTCACAAACAGGCAGATGTACCGTAATTTGTGCCATCAGTGCAGCTCACTCCCATGTCAGGGGTCTGGCAGGGACTGCTTACTTCCTACAACCTCTTTTGTGAGACTTCAGCTCACCAACAGAAGCACCAGGAGTGAGTCAGAGAAGAGCACAGGTTTCTGACTCATGCCTCTTCCACGAGACTTGGGATGAAAGTTTCCATTTCGGAGCCTCTGCTATTCCAAAGGGAAAGTACAACGTAGAGCAGCAAGGCTGTGATGACAAATAACAATGCAGGGCTCTCAATGAAGCCATCAGCTAATCCACCAGCTGCTTCTTTCTTCCATCTGTGTTTGGACTCCCACTAAATGCCCAGTGAAGAAGGACATCAGCAACGCTGCACTGCCGATTCGCACCGGATGAACATCCCGGCCCAACAGCAGCGTGTTTTCTGTCAGAGCTCATTTGATCCCAGCCCAGTTGTGTTGTTGGCTCCACGAAAGTAGTTTACAGTGGAAACAAGCATGTGTTTACTTCTCAGCAGTGAGCCCGGGCTGTGACCCATCAAGAAATGGGACAGGATGAATCTGCCTGGATTATTGCATGTCCCGTCCAGCCTCCGTGTGGCTGTGATCCATGGGAGCCCAGTGTCATGTTTACAGTGGCTTCATCACTCCTCCCTCTCCAGCCAATGAACAGAGCCCCCCAGTCACCTTCCCAAGGTCTTTTTATATATCCTAGGTCTTAATTTCTCTGGAATTCAGGAAGTGCAGCAATATGGCAGGGTGGGCAGGAATGGAATGAGTCCCATAAGGGAGATGTGTACAGCTGGCAAATTATTTTTTTTCCCTATTTTGGAAATCCTTGAGGATTTGTGCTGAACAGCTTCAATGTTCAGGGAAAAAAATAGTATTTTTAAACAGCCTGGTACAGTCAGAAGCACTTGGTGAGGGAAGGGAGAAAGTTCCACTGTGAATAACATCTACAATATTGCACCAGGTGCTTGCAAAACTTAAAGGAGCAAGAGACTTTGTCATTTCTCTTCCCTCCAGCAGGAGTCAGGTATAACTTCCCTGTCAGAAACGCTGTGCCAGGGCAGAGGAGGTCAGTCTCCTGTTATTACAAAAGGGCTGGTATAGATGTATTTCACAGAGGATGCTTTAATTAAAGCACAAAGAATAGCTGATATAATGGAGTTCACTTTGGGTCTAAGTTCTTTCTCTGTCTCAGAATTCCTGTCCAGTCTTGGGGAAATCAGGTCAAATTTCTTTTAACCAGCTCCTCCTTAGAAAAAAGCTGAGATAATGACTCTTCCCCCTTCTCCCTTTTTGTGTGTTGTCACTACAAGGACACAGCCTGAGGACAGGCTGCTAAACACCCCCTAACCCTGCAAATCCCACCTCTGCCATCCCAGGGAGCCTGGTCTGGGGGCTTTCCCTTCTCAGAGACTGCAGCTCTTTGTGCAGTGCCTGTAGCAAGGGGGTCCCAACCTCATCCAGGATCTCCAGGGCCCCAAGGAGGGAGACAGCCTTACCATTTCACAGGATGTCCCCTCTGAGGGCTGACAGTTCGAGGTCCCTGTGTTCACCACTGCCAGGAGGAAGATGATGTACAGTTTCATGGTTCTGCAGGTAAAAGTAATTATGGTTAAGTTTCAGTGGGACATGTGAAAGCTGGCACCAGCTCACCATCTAACCTGGGGAAGGACACAAGCAGTGCAATAAATTAACCCCTCTCTGAGCACACAGCACTAATGACCCACCTCTGTTCTTCATTCCTATGCTTACAGGAGTTGGTGCCTCCTACAAGGAGAAAATTAGTTTTACCCTTTGACTATTAGTTTGCTGAGATGGAGGGAAAAGAGAAACATTCTGATGATTACAAGGCTTTTCTCAGAGCCCAGAAAGGGAAATCCTTGCTGTGTAGATCCAATGAATTCAGCTGAGGATGTTTTTCACAGCAGGGCACCACCCTGATGGGGACAGCACGTGTGCTCTGTGATGTCTTCCCTTATCACACCATCAGTGCAAAACATGGTCCCTTTGCTTCGTAAATAATAACCCTGACACAATCCAGGCTCTGAACACACTTTGAAATGTCCTAAATTTTAAGTTTATAAAGCAGCTGGGAAACTGATGTATTTGAACACAGAAAATGGGATTTAATGGCTTGCTGTTTAAGGCAGATCTCAGCTCAGTAGTAAGCAAGGATGCTGTCCCTCAAGTTGTTTCTAAGGTGGCTGTTGAATCCCGAAGGATTAGGACATGGGGGTCTCTTCCAGCATAAGACCACATGGACTCTGTCCTCATAGAGTCATTTAGTTTGGAAAAGCCCTCTGAGACCATGGATTCCAACATTCCCCCAGCGCTGCTAAGCCCACCACTAAACCTGTCCCCAGGTGCCACATCCATGGGGCTGTTAAATCCCTTCAGGGATGGAGACTCCTCCACTGCCCTGGGCAGCTGTGCCAGGGCCGGACAACCGCTGGGGTGAAGAAATTGTTCCTAATATCTAAATTAAATCACCCCTGGCACAACCTAAAGCTACCTCCTCTTGACCTGTCATGGTACGGCCCAACCTCCTTGCTCATGGAGGTTGCCTTCCCAGGGTGGTTTCCAGTTCAGCTGTCCAGCTGGGGAGTTCTTCCTGCCAGGCTTTTCTCTGGCCAACCTTTAGAACCTCTCCAGCAACTCTGAGCGTGACAGAGCCCTGCATCCCCCTCCTCTCCACCCTCTGGGCAGGTTTCAGCAACACCCCAACCTCTCCCAGTGCAGAGCCCAGGGCTCACAGGACCCCATTCCCTTGGTGTCAGAGGGGTCTTCTCCTGACACTAATCCCTTCCTGCTGGCACTGATGTCTCTAAGTACAGCTTCCAAAAGCAGTCTGGGAGCAGCAGCAGCAATAACTCAACCTAAAGGAGCCTTCATTGCTCTGAGGTTTTCCCAGAGTTGAAGCAGCCTCATGCTCAGTGCCAGTTGGCTCCCACTGGCAGCTGTGAGAGAAATCCCAGCACACCTCAGAGCAGGACTGAGCTCTGAACCCTATGCAATTCCACAGCTTTCCATCACAGTACTTCCAAATCACCCAGACCCAGCTGAAAAACACAGGTGGTTTCAGTGAACATCTGTGAACACTCAGGTTTCAGTGAATATCACCCCTAAGGGCTGTTAGTAAGTGGGTCAAACAATTTCAGCTTCTAGAAAAAGCATGGTACCCAAACCAGATCAGCAGGTCCACCTAACAAATGGGAGGGCAAAGGCAGAGAAGAGCAGTGTTTTGCCCCAAGACATATCTGAAACCATAGAATAATCAGGATTTAATCCCAGTTTTCCCTGTTCCCACTTCAGAACAGTGCTTGCCTCCCTCTCTGTGAACAATATTATCCTGAAACTTCATCGATGTTGCTTGCAGCTGATAACAGCAGCACTTTCCAAATTTTCCCCAAAGGTAATTTTTGTTATTGCTTAGACAATTAACAGAGGCATTCTCCTGTGCCAAGGGAAGTTAAGTACAAGAGAACACACAGAACACAAATCAAACTCCCCAGGCTCTGATCTTTTTTCCACACAAGACTCTTTCCTGTTACGTGAGAGGGTTAAAAAGAGTGACTATTTCACATTTACCTTGCTTCAAGGGTTTCTTGCATCCCCAAACACCGCTTATCATCCCTTTAAAAAGCATATCCAGCTCTTCAGAACCGATTCAGTCCTGGGACCGATGGAATTATTCCTCAGCTTCGCCTTCACCCATTCAGGACTCCTGGAGGCTCACTCGTAACTCCAGAACGGAGGCATTTCCAGGGAAATAGCCTTATTTGGGCCAGTGTCTGCTTTAAATTATGCTGCTTGTCTTCCTCTGCACTGCTCCCCGGGCTCTTGCTGGGTCCCAGCCACCGCTGTGCTCCGGACGGAGCCGGCTACTGTGCGACATCCTGAAGCCCTTCCTTGGGGCAGGCGTTGGGAAACAGGGGGATTTTTGCCAGAGAAACTGTTCAGGATCAGGCTGTGGGTTTGCTCAGGGGAATAAGTGACTTATTGGCACTGCCATTGTTCGGCTGCGTGCGGGGCACGGCGGCGTGTTTACTCTGGGGCTTTGTGTCTTACATTCCTGGAGGATTGCAGCCTCCTGCACCTAAATCTCTCCCTGCATCTTTAGGGAAGCAGTGCTTGAGGATTAAATGTTTAAAATTCACGGTTGATAAATATAAAACCCAGAATTTGGAAACCTGCTCTGGAAGAAATAACTCTTTCTTCTTCACAGTCGCCCCACTAACGAGGGTGTGACGGCAGCCTCCCGGCAGGACGCGGGTCCAGCGGTGGCTACAACACACTCGGTGGGTTTTCATGGCACGGGGTAGGAATTAGGGACCTTGATAAAGGCATTTTCAGATGAGCTGCTGAATATTTGACTGCAAGTACACAGTGCTGAATCTACTGGATCTGCCAGGAAGAATTCCCATTGCAAAGGGGTACTTTTGTCACACAGAAGATGATTTCAAATTGCCTGAGAGCTCAGCTTTTTATTTATTATTTTGTGCTGCCCTCTAGGGCTGGAGTAGCTGCCTAATTGCTGGTTTACTCACTTCCTTTTGCTAATTAAGCCCTGCTTCTGGAAAGCCCACCTTTACATAGATTTCCCCGTTGTTTTCTCCCAAAGACACGAGTCTGAGCTGTTGTAAAACACTTTTCTCGTGGCTGAAATAATACACCAAAGAGCTGTCATTTGCTTGTTAATGCACCCTGAAATGAGAGGCATAAATCACAGAATCACAGGATGGTTTGGATTGGAAAGGACCTGAAAGATCACCTCGTTCCAACCCCCTGCCATGTGCAGGGACACCTTCCACTAGACCAGGTTGCTTGTCTAGCTGTGAAAATGCTCTGACAAGGCAACAGGGGAGGGCATGATTAGGTGCAACGGATAGAAAATCCATGTTAAGCTCTCAGGAGAACACTCCACCAGTGAGATTATCACAACCCTGGCCAGGTTTCCTTGGGCTGGGCTCTCATCAGACCACTTTGGATCACCTTTCCCCAAGCACAGCATGTTTTTAGCTCCCTTGGTCAGGGCTGCCTGCAGTGCTATTTTTCACCTGGTCCCTTCACAGTCCCTGGAGTCAGGCTGTCCATCTGCAATCCCCTTGGGGTAACCAGGAAACTCAGGTTGAAACTGGGAACCACTGTGATGTCCAGAGGTTTAAGTGCCTTTTTGATGCCTTGTCAGCAGCATGCAATAGCATTTGAAAAGCACAGACACTTTGCAAGGAAAACCTCAAATAGCTGAAGTCTCCAAGGGAAAAAAAAAAAACCCCACCCCTTTTTTTTTTTTTTTTTAATAGGTTATTTTGCTTTGATTTGGATATGGAGCACAAATTTCATGCCTATAATGAAGAGCAGCGAGTGGTCAGGATGATGGCAGTTTCACATTTTGCTATACCTGGATGTTCGGGGCACTTTGGGAAGTCTGGATTTGCAGGGATAAAAATAGCAGAGGTTTTGTTGGTTGAGCCTTTTAAAAAGCCAGCTCTGTTCCTCGGGCTGTTTTCCTGAGTGGCCGAGCAGTTGTGCCAGCTGAACTGTGAAGAGCCTGGACAGAAACAAATACCAAAGCAGGAGGGAAGGGCATGCACTGATTCTGCTGCTCAGGACTTTGCTTCATTAAAGCCACGCTCTCAGAGGACACCAGCCGTGCTGGGAGAGATCTGTGCTGTCCTTACAATCTTTGTCCTTTCCCAAAGGGGATCTGGCAGCAAACAGTTTCAAAGACACTGAACCATTTGGCTGATTACCCGTTTTCATTATTTTTGTGCTTTGGGCTACCCAGCAGTTCAAACCTTAGAGTGATGAAACATTAGCAAGGTATGAGCTTGGTTACCCAGAGCCCCAGCCAGCCTCATCTCCATCAGGCAAATTGGAGAATCAAGCTCTTCTGCCCACAAAATAGCAAGGGCCGTCCCATTCCACTGATGCCACAGGGTTTGTACCTGCAGCTCTGTGAAATCAGTCCCTTACTGATTTTCCAGTGGTCTCCTCTGAGTCACTTCCTGCGTCAGATGAATTTCACCCCATTGTCACCTGAGGCCTGGGGCACCTCATCACACCTCTCCTCTCCTCCAAACCCTCTTCCCAGCATGGCCCAGAACAAGAAGGAAAAGCAAATCCCAGCCACTGGCTCTCCCCAGCTGATGTGTAATCTGCTGCAGGTTCCTTGGGGTTTCAAAGAAACAGGAAAATGTCTTGATAATCATGTGTCTTGAACCTGCAGACCTCTGGGAGCCTGTCCATCCATAGCCCTGCTGCTTTCTAAGGCACTGCTCTTGGGCTGAGTCCTGTGTCAAGCTGTATGAACCAAACTCTCCAGAGAAGTACACAGAACAAGTTCCTGCCTTAGAAAGTGGCTCTGAACTGTAAGGACAGAAGTGGGACAAGCCTTGCTCCCTTTTGGCTGGAATAGCTCCCCGGCGATTCATCCTGCCTAGGGGCTGGAGACGACATTAATATCAACCCTATTAAAAAGTAAACAGCCAATGCCACCCTCGGCCACAGCCTTTGAGAAGGAGGCACAGCTCCAGCTCCTGAGACTCTACATCATCTCCAGATGCTGCTTCTCCTGTTTCTTCCGCTCGTGCCACCTGCACTGTGCTCAGAGCCTCCCATCCTGCTGTCCCAAACAGGGACTCCTACATCTCCTGTAACCCCAATGTGGCTTCTCTCCTGTCTTTTGAAGGTGCTGCCTTCCTTCCTTCCTTCCTTCCTCCTCTTTCTGTCCTCTCTCCACATGTACCTCTATCAGGTGTTCAGCCAGCAGGACTTCCCCACCAAAATTAACGTGTCCAGTTAACTGAGGGTTAGCCAGTTTCCCTATTTTATTCACCCATTTTTTTACTACTCTCTGCAGGAAAGAAAATGTAAATGAACAAGAGTTGCAGGGAAACCCACCAGTCTGGAGAATTTGTGAGTGAGGGGCAGGGGAAAGGGAGAGCAGGAGATGACAAACAGAAACTCTTGTATCAGCAAAAGGTGACATGTTACTGGCATTTGCAGATTAAACTATGAGACCATGAAATACTCTCCCTGGAGAACAAAATTCCTGGGGAACCAAACCAGAATATTTTCTCACCAGTTTATAATCTAAGTGCAGCAAAAAGAGAGTAAAATAGGCTTTTAATTCAGAAATATCTTTTTTTTTTATTGACAGCAGGGTGAGTATTTGGGAAAAGGTGTATTCAATTTATATGATCCAAGGTGACAAAATTAGGTGAGGAAAATTATTTCTAATAGACTCGATTTCCATGATACTGATGTCCCCCTTTGAATCCATCCATTGTGTTAGTAAAAGGCCAAGCATTAACACAGTTATTGAGATGTAACCATCTGCTTTAAAAAGAGATGACTGATTGTGAATTTTTGTTCTTGAAAACTACAGGATTTTAGCATTTTAGAGTGATAAGTTGATTTTAAAGTTGAAATTATTACATCTTAGTTAAAAACCCCAAATTTTCACTGTTGTGCAAGCCCAAACTTTTCTTTCTATTTAAGGGAAACATATTTGTCTTTTATCAAAAATACTTTTATCAAAATCACAACAGGGCTTAGCCATAGAAAATTTTCTGTACTTCTATATAAACCATGATTTTCTAAAACTTTACTAGCTCCAAATATTGCCTAAACACTAAATCTCATGATAACAATCCAGATGCAGCAAAACCCTCTCAGTAAGTCACCATTCACCCAAGGTGACATTCAAACTGTCAGGATCTGAAGAGCAGCAAAATAACCCTGCCATCTCACACCTCATGCTCAGATGGGGAAAGCTCAGTGACAGCACTGACAGTGAGAGCAGACAAGCCAAACAGCATTTTGCCTCTTTTGCCCAGGGACTGTGATTTGCCCAGGGCTGTATCAGGATTCAGTGTCGGAGAGCCGGGTGAGTGGCATTTAATTGGTGTTCAGTGCTGATCTCTGCAGCACTCCTGGTTCACAACGCTACAATGCAGTAATACCATAAATAGACTGAAGTCCTATGAAGAAAGAAAAAAAACCAACCCTATCCCCATCTTCTATGCAAAAAACGCCAGTGTATGACAACTGTATTGTTATAAACTACCCGGTCGCCTCCTTAACGTAAAGGATCCAACTCGCTGCAGTGTAAGTCCCTGATGGATTAAACATACAGCTGTATGGACAGAGCCATCTCCACAGTGTGTTTAGCCAGTTCCTCAGCCTAGTCATAAACACAGTATATTTTATTTATACAGTACCTTCCTCATCTGTGTCATTTCTAAAGGCTGCAGCTCTAAGCCACCAGAGCCCTCACCTCTCCCGCAGCTGAAAGCTCAACTTTCCCGCAGCTCCCGGCTTCGCACGCGGCTCCACGTACCTGCTCTGAGGCTGGAGGTGGAGGAGGAGGAGCCTTCTGCCTCCCGGACTCTCCCAGCAGCCTTTCCAGCTCGAGCCGAGGATGAGTTTCCTTGGGGAAGTCGTACCTCTGTTGCATGCCAGCTGACTAAAACTCTGCGAGCTCCCAGAGAAGTTTGAAGTCACAGGGAAAAAAAATGCTCCCCATAGACTGGTCCTTGAATTCATTCCTTCGCAGTCATGAGCTCTTATATATTCCCAGGCTGCTCCGAGCACGTGAATACGAACCTCCGTAAGAGTTTGGAAATGTGTGTGTCCTCCGCGCTTCTCTTTATTTTCCATTTCGTTCATTCAACCTTGGCTTGTTTCCTGCAGTTTCTCAGCTGGTAATTACGCTCCTCTCATATTGACACATGAAACAGTCTGTGAATACCACAAAAAATCCCCTCTGCAGGCTCTGGGGACACGTGCCTGTCTCTGAAGTTGGCCGTGCCTGTCCCACAGCTGTCAGCCTGCCAAGTCGCAGGGGCTGGGGTAAACCAGGGCCACTGAACCGGCTGCGAACCCTAAATTCCAAGTCCACGGAGGACGGGGTGCACGGGAAAAGGGTATATGGGAGGGAAGCACCACAGCAGAGCAAACACATCGTGTTTGGTGGCCCAGCACCTCAGGTGTGGCTCGTAGCACAGCAGTGGCACAGCCGAACGCACCCTTGGGGGAAAGGATAAATTCACTTTA